AAAAAAGAAAGAAAAAGAAAAACAGAACTTTCATCCTCAATTGTTCTAATTGTACTAGGGAACATCGTTATTTTTCATGATTTGAGTTTCCCATGTAATGCTGTAAAATATAAGCCAAGAAAACAAGTAAATTTTGACATGGTCCCTTTTTTATGTTTTTCAGATCTCTCATACAAAACTTTCTGCAGATGATGATGCCTGGAAGTAAGTGACTGATATTTTTTATAACTGTTTTACTAAAAAATAGATTTTTAACTTAGCAGTTGAAAAATTGAATGAAGTCATCATTTTATTTGTAAATTTTCCAAGATAGAGAAGGTAGAACAGCCATGTGTGCACAAGGAGACGGTCGACCAAAACTGCATGGATTTCGTGTTTTCTGCAGTGTGATCCATGCAATCCTGTCCACAAAGCTGGATTAATACAGCCTTCAAAATATACCTGGGTCAAGTTAGTATTTATTTTAGGCACATGGTACATCTGGGTTTCCATATATATGCTGTTTCTCTTGTGTTCTGGTGCCTAGTGTGGGTCCATTGGGCACTATGAGCACCACATGAAATGAATAAAAATGAAAAGTTCCTCCTTTTTTCACTATAGAAATCCATGTTAACTGTATTCCTAATCCAAATAGAAAATATTTATTGCATGTGTATACCGATTTATACTGCTCAAAGCACTTACACGTAGGTGAACCCATTTGAGATGCATTTTCATCATTATGTATACAAAATAGATTCTGACAGTTTGTTTTACATCTATGCAAAACTTATTTTAGACTGATGATTAATTTACTCTTCTATCTACACGGCCTAAGCTCAAAGTCTATTAATTACATAAAATGTTAAATAGTTATTTTTGATTTGGGGCTGTGAAAACCATAATTAAGCTCTTGTACCCTTCTCATTTTTTTCTTACTTTCCTTTTCTTCAGGGACACGAGTGTATTTTTCTTTTTTATGAGAGTCTAGAAGTCACTCTTGTCTCCTGAGTCCAGCTTCCAGCACAGAGCCTAATAGCTGTGCAATATTTTTCAAGTCGCATACCCAATATGGACTTCATCTTTGTTGTTTGATAAATAAAGGGGCTTCAGTCCATCTATGGTAACTCCTGGCACTAACGCTCTAAGAATCCCTCTCCAAAAGCTGAACTCAAGCAGGAATATTCACTAGGCTCTGTGGGTGCGTTTCTGCACCTTCTCCAGCAGGGGGCACCCCTGGGACTTGGATGGGGCTCTTCTCTGAGGCACCCTGTCCATATCTGTAACTACATGCTGGCAGAGTGGGAAAACCCAACCCACGCACCTATCCATTGCCTTTAAAAGGCCATAATCTTGCGGCACAGATTGTTACCTTTGAGTGGTCAATTCAGGAGAATTAAAAAAGAAGAAAAAAGATGATAGGCAACATTCATAATTTTCCCTTTTTTCCCTAATCTTGACCCTGGGCCTCTCCCTTTCTGTAGACTCCTGGTTCTCAATCTTGGCAGCCTCCAAAATTACGTGGGAAGCTTTAACAATTACTGATGCCTAGCTCCCATCCTGGAAACCTGCATTAGTTTGCTAGGAATGCCATAACAAAATGCCACAGACTGTGTGGCTTAAACAACAGACATTTATTTTCTCACAGTTCTGGAGGCTGAAAGTCCAAGATCGAGGTGCTAGCAGGTTTTTGCTGGCAGGTTGACCCACTGGGGATCGGGACTTCAACATAAAAATTTGGGGAGGAAACAATTCAGCCCATAAAATGCAACAATGGTCAACTAATTGATCTGGGGTACAAATTGGGTATTGGGATTTTATTTTTTTTATTTTTATTTTTTTTGAGCTGGAGTCTCACCCTTTGAGCTGGAGTCTCACCCCTTCACCCAGTCTGGAGTGCAGTGGCACACTCACGGCCACCCCAGCGTCAACCTGCTGGGCTCCGGCGATCCTTCAGCCTCAGCCTTCCAAGTAACCATAACTATAGGCGCGTGCTACCACACCCAGCTAATTTTTAAAATTTTTACTGTAGAGACGAGGTCTTGCCAAGTTGCCCAAGCTGGTCTTGAACCTGCGGGCTCAGGCAATCCACTCACCTCAGCCTCCCAAAGTGCTGGAATTACAGACTGAGTCACCGAGCCCAGCTGGTACTGGGATTTTTAAAAGCTTCCCAGTGATTTCTAACTTCCAGCCAAGGTCAAGATCCACTGCTCTAGGTTTTCTCTGAGGCCAATTCTGTTCTAGGACGTTAAGCCAGAAAACATACTATTTTTTGTGATGTTCTCTACTTTTGTGCAAAACTAAGTACCCAACTAGAAATTAAAAGATTCAACCATCATCCAAAAGTCTGTGCATGTCTAAGATAATTCTTAGTTCTGTTCTTTCTCCCTATAATAGTTCTGTAGTAGGTTATACAACTCATTGCCCATTGTTCTCTTGCCCTATGAATAACATATTCTTCTTTGGCCTAGGCACCATCAGCAGGATATCCTTGTACTTGAAACTTGTAGACATTCCTTGAAATTGCTGGTATTCTTCTATTTTTCACTTTCAAAAATGGCAGTTTCACATGATGCAGCCTAATAATTATTATTATTCCTCATATAGTACAAATAAAATAGCATGTGCTTTACAGTCTTACAACAACCCATGAGGTACAGAGGGATCATTACCTAAAATTTTCAAACAAGGAAACTGAGGCTCAGAGAGCATAAATGACTTCCCCAAGGTTCTGAGGCAGTGACGTGGCAGAACCCAAGCCTTCTAGGGCCCATCAGTATTTTCCAGCTCCATCATTTAACTTGATAAGAAAAAACTGAGGCCAAAACCACATAGGAAAGTGAAGAACTGAGAGGAATTGGTTTTGCTGATAGAATCAAGCTTCTTCTCTAAGCTGCCCCTTCCCTAATCCTGGGGGAAGGGAAAGAACCAAGAAAAACGTTCAGAAAAACTTTATAATCCATGCTTGCTAATGCCTGGAGTTGCTCAGACACACACATCATATCCCAGAGGCCAGAGTGACGCTGCCCATTGGGAGGCTGCTGTCTACAACCTCGACTGATGCGCCACAACAAAACCGTAGGGTCAGCCGGTTGACACCCTGGGGGTCAGCAATCCCCAGTTGCTTCCTGTGAGCCACACTTGTTCTTTATTTTGCTAAATGTGCAAGGGTTGAGGGCTTTTTCGGATGACCACTTTTGTCAGTTCCAGCCTGCAGCAGGAGAGGATGTACAAGATGCACCGGGGCCACGAGTCCATGCACGCGGAGATGATCTTGATCTTCCTCTGCGCTCTGGTCATCGCGCAGATAGTGCTGGTACAATGGAGACAGAGGCATGGACGATCCTACAACGTGAGTCACCCCTGGGGCCGCTGGCTACCTGCTCCAGCAAGAGCCAACTTGACTGTCCTTTCAAGGCCACATTCTTCCTTTGTTACCACTTTAAAGGAGCTGCTTTGGTTTAAGTCAGTGGTTCTTAACCAGGTGCAATTTTGTCCCCAAGAGACATTTGGCAATGTCTGGAAACATTTTTGCTTGTCAGGACCTGAGGGGTGGGATGGGGAGTGGGAGGGGAGTTGCTATTAGCACCTAGGGGGTAGAGGCCAGAGATGTTGGTAAACATCCTTCATGCAGGACAGCTCCCCACCACAAAAATGAACTGACTCAAAAATGTCAATAGTGCCAAAGTTGAGAAGCCCTGATTTGAATAAACCAATTTTCCTTTTGTGCATGAACAGCTTCTGCCAATGACCCAGAAAAAGGAGGACTAACAATAGCTGAAACAAATGGGTGAGCCATCTGCTATGGTTTGAATGTGTTCCCCAAAGTTCTTGTGTTGGAGATTTGATCCCCAGTGCAGTGTTGGGAGGTAAAGCCTCATGGGAAAGAATTAGGCCATGAAGACTCTACCCTCATAAATAGATTAATGCCATTATTACAGGACCTGATTTGTTATAAAAGTACACATTCTTCCCCCTTTCATCTTTCATTCTCTTTTGCCCCCTCACCTTCTGCCATGGGATGATGCAGCAAGAAGGTCCTTGCCAGTTGCCGGTCCCTCTGTTTTGAACTTCCCAGCCTCTAGGACCATGCATGAGGCAATACATTTCTGTTCATTATGAAGTACCCAGTCTGTGGTCTTGTTCTAGCAGCACAAAATAGACTAAGACAGAAAATTGGTACTGAGAATTGGGGCTGTTGCTGTAACAAATGCCTGAAAATGTGGAAACAGCTTTTGAGTTGGGTCGTGAACAGAGGCTGGAAGACTTTGGAGGAGCAAGCAGGAAAAAAAAAGCCTGTATTGTTGTCAATGGAGTATTAAAGGTGATTCTGCTGAGGGCTCAGAAGAAGAAAAGAACTGTAGAAAGTCTGAAACTTCTTAGCAGTTAAGTGGTCATGATCAGAATGTTGGTAGAGATGTGGACAGTAAAGGCCATTCTGGTGAGGTCTCAGACAGAAGTGAGGAACGAAGTGCTGGAAGCTGGAGTCAAGGTCATCATTGTTATAAAGTCACAAAGAACTTGGCTGAATTGTTCCCATGCCCAAGGGCTTTATAGAAGGTAGATTTAAGAGTGCTGAAACTAGTATATCTGGTGAAAGAAATTTCTAAGCAAAATATTGAAGGATCAGCATGGCTTCTTTGAGAGAAATGATTTAAGATGGAATGAGTAATTAAAAGGGAAACAGGATACAAACATTTGGAAAATTCACAGGCTGTCTATGTAAAGAATGAAAACGCTTGCAAGGATACTGCATGAAGGAAACTGGGTGCAATCCATGGAGACAATGGGAGAATGACCCTGAAGGCATTTCAAAGATCTTCAAGTCTGCTCCCCTTTACAGACCCAGAGCTCCAGAATGGTTTTGGACCATGAGCCCTCCACACACTTGCTGTACAGGGCCACTCTAGGACTCTGCTCCTCAAACTCCAGCATAGCACTTCTTGATTGCCCCACCTGTGGATATGGGATCCCAGGTACAGCTCAATCTGTGGCTCCAGAAGGTGCAAGCTATAAGCCTTGGCAGTGCTAATTCTGCAGGCACACAGAATGCACATACTGTCGGGTCATTAGTGGTCTCCACATAGATTTCAGAGGAGGTTGGGGACAGCCCAAGAGCCACCCAGGCAGAGATTTGTCACATAGGTAAAGCTGCCATAGAGAGTCCCCCACTAGGGCAATGCTAAGTGGAACTGTGGGGTCAGGACCACAGCAGAGAGTCCCCACTAAACCATGGGAGGGGGAGGATACCCCCAAGTTCCAGAACTGTACAACTACCAGAACTCAACCTGGGAGAGCCACAGGTACAAGACTCCACCTCATGACAGTTGTTGCATGGGCTGAGTCCAGCAAAGTTATGAGGGTAGGGCTTTACTGAGACCTTGGGGGCTCAACCCCTGATCTAGTGTGCCCAGAAGATGGGATATGGAGTCAAAAAAGATTCCTCTCAAGCCTTAGAATTTAGTATTGTTCACTCTGTGGTTCATTATCTCTGGATCACTTGGGACTTACTACTCCTTTCCTCTTTCATATTTCTCCCTTTTGAAATGGGAGTATTTATCCCATGCCTGTCTTACCATTGTATTTTCGAAGTAAGTAATTTGTTTAATTTCACAGCTGGAGGGGAGTTTGCCTCAGGATGAATCATGCCTTGAGTCTGACCCATATCCAAATTAGATGAGACTAAACTTTTGAGCTGGTACTGGAACAAGTCAAGAATGAATACCTTTTATATGTGAGAAGGGCATGAATTTTGGGCCAGGGAAGAATATTTTGGTTTTCTAATGTGTCCCCCAAAACTCATGTCTTGGAAATTTAATCTCCAATGTGATAGTATTGGGAGGTGGAGCTTAATGAGAGATGATTAGGCCATGAAGGCTCTGTCCTCATGAATGGATTAATGCTGTTATTGTGGGAGTGGGTTTGTTATCTCAAGAGTGGGCTCCTTATGAAAGGGCAAGTTTGGCCCCCTTTTCTCTCTCTTTTCTCTGTCGCCCTCTCATCTTCCATCATATTATGGTGCAGCAAGAAGGTCCTCACCAGATGCAGCCCCTGGATCTTGGATTTTCCAGCCTCCAGAACTGTGAGAAATAAATGTATTTTCCTTATAATTTGTGGTATTTTGTTATAGCAATACAAAACAGACACTGTCTAATGTTTCATTAGCGATAAGCCATCTTGGCATTAATGTTTTGCATATCCACAGAAATGTGTTCATGCAAACACTGCACTGACCTCAGCAACAGAGCAAAATTCCACTTTCACAAACCAATCCCACTTGAACATGTTCACTGGAGTTTTCTCATCTCAGGTCCTCAAGGCCCTGAGACCTTATTGGACTGATCTGACACCTTGACACTGCAATGTTTACAGCAGTAGGTTTCAAAATCTAGGGTGCATCAGACTCTATGGAGGGCTTGTTGAATCAAATTCCCAGGTTCCACCCCTAGAGTTTTTTATTGCCCGGGAGCCCAAGGATTTGCATGTCTAACAAGTTCCCTGCTAGTGCTGATGCTGCCAGTCCTAACATCACACTTTGAAAACCTCTGGTTTAAATTCAGTTATGGCCTAAATGGAGAAATGTTGCAAAGGGAGAAGGTCCTCAATTAGCATTCTACTTGGTTCTGGTCATTGTGAAGACTTGCCTGTGACATGTGAAGTATTGACATAGACCAGTATTTTATTTTATTACCTATCATAAAAAATATTTCCTATGTAGTACAAGGTCTAAATAAATTATTTTAAGTTCTGTACAGTATTTAATTTTAGACAATTTGGAACATTGTATTTAGAAAAGGAAGTCTGTTTTCTCCTTTAAAGCAAATGTATCAATTTTCTGTCATGTCACCATTGTCTTGTCAGTTAAAATAAACACCCTTTATATTGCACTTGGATAATGGTTTTAAATGAATCAGACTAGAATCAAACCTCACTAGTTGTTCACTCTTATTTTGAAGAAAAAGTTCTTTAAATAGAATATCTTAACTATGCTTTCCTTATCTGTAAAATGGAAATATCTAAGATAGAATTGTCGGGGTCCTTATGTAAGTGGAAACCTAAATTCTTAAGGAATCTGTCCATAGCTCTATTCTATCCTTTCTTTATAATTACTCATTGTCTCTGGATTGATATAAAAGAAGTGCTCTCCTTCCATAGTAACACAGATGTGGATTTTGCATAAGAAGCCCTCTGTCCTTGAGTGTATTCTCATGAGCCAGATGACTTGTACTATGGCACACCACTCCTCTGCCATCTTTATTTGATAGTTTTGAAGGAGGCATATGCCCAAAACTCTCATCCTTATCTTGTATTTGAAGCTATTGCTCATGTGTCATCTCTGTGGGTGTGTGTGGCTGGCCACAGATAGACCAGCATGAGTCAGTATTTCTTCTAAGGACTTGTGGCCTTTGGAGGCGCTGACCCAGGTGACTCTAGCTATGCTGTGCCAAGTGGTTATCCTGAGCCTGACCACTGTCAGCCATCTGGAATTGTCTGTCTGAGTTTTTCCCAGAGCTCACATAACATTTATTTCAATGACTTCATGTTGTGACCTCCATCAATATTAGTAACATATTAGTATATATATTACTTATAATGACTAAAATAATACTCCTATTATAAAGAGCTGTGCCACCTAGAATTCCTCTCCAGAAACATTGCTTTTAACTATCCCCCAGATTCCCTTAGTCTCCACACTTTTGCTCCCTAAGACTGCTGTTTTTGTGTCCCTCTATCACATAGCTCCTCTATTTTATGACTACCCAGAGGTGCTCTGCGGTCCAAAAGATCACCTTGGAAATGACCAGAAGACTGTGATCATGGCCTCTCATGATCATGGTTACCCTGTCTGGCACTTTAGCAAAGCCAAAGGTAAAGATACCTTCACAGTAGTCAAGGACAGATTCAGGTCTTATGGTGGCCCCACTGGGACACTGCTGGATTAGCTCATAGATGAGGTTGGATTCTGGAACATGTTCCACTTCTATTATTGACATTGTCCCAAAGGCACAGTTTGAGCAACCCATTTCCCCTGCACATCTCTACTGACAATCTTTGGCCCAAGGTGAGAGCCAGTATGCAAGGCCAAGCTTTCCCATGCTGCAGCCCTGACAGCCTCATGCTTGCCCCAGCATCAGAACATAGCCATTCCAGGTATCCTGGATGATGTCTGCAACCATTTGAGCTGGAAATGGCTCCCGGAGCACCACTAGCTTATTCTAAAACACTGGTTTCCAGCTTTCTTGCGTTCTGCATGGGACAATATTGAAAAAGCCCGGACCTAAGGCACTATGCAATTTAAAATCTTTGGGATAGAATTTGATGGACATATTTTCATAAATTCTGACTTAAATA